CCTGAAAAATCACACAGGAAAGCATGGTATTCCTAGAGCCAGAGGCCATGTTTATGTTATGGCATTTGTGGTGGGCACTTCAAAAGGAGAGTCAGGGAGAATGCCAGGAAGGCACCCTGCTATGAAAGGAGTCTCAGCACATAACTCCGAGCTCGTGAGCTATCCGGATATGAAGAGACTTCTACTTCACATAACAGAGGCCCCCAACAGGACAGAGAGCTCTAATCTGTGTAAAGTTGGGGCAGTTTGCTCAAGGAAACAAACATAGGCTGAACCACTGTTATTCCACTAGAAACGACTGTCAACCAATCATTGGATACTGTGGGAGAGAACAAGAGATGGTGTTGACTTCAACACCCAGAGGACTTCTAAGAATTTCCCTACAAGTAGCTATGTGCATTTGTTACTCAGGGCAGACATCCCTGAAGGTCAGATACAAGCAGAATCAGCATCACACTCATACTGTGAGCAGAGGTGGCCATTGAAATAGAGACTAGGGAGATCAGACAGTCCACGGAAGTGATGGAAAACTTTTTCCTGGGTGCCGCAACTGAAAAGAACAAATATTGACCTAAGAAAAAGGAGATTTACCCAGCAAATAATACCATGAGGGCAATGGGTGAATAAATACAATGTGAGGGGGAGAAATGTTATACATATACATATATATGTAACACATGAAAACATCTTGCATGTATACATACATAATTATGTAATGCTGAAGTTGATTATCATAGCTGTTCTTTTTTTAAAAAAAACTTTTACAAAAACTTTATTGAGAATTTCATACATGTATATAAGGTGTTTGATCAACTCCATGCCTACTCCCTCCCCACCAACATTCCCCCCTCTGAAGAGGTAACCCTAAAATCTTTTACGGATTAGATATTCTTAAATACTTAAGAGATATCCTTAAATATTTAAGGGTATGGGATGTGAATGAGCACCTAATTGGTTCTCTATGACTTCAAGGTTCTTGTGAGCACAAATCAGAGATTTGTCCACAAACTTGTGCAAAGCAGCAGCAGGTGCCTTCAGTAGGCACGCCATGGTAGGCATGTCAAAGGATGTGGGCCTTGGGGTCTGTGTGTAGGATTCTATTACTTCTAATGATTTATATCTTCATACATTTATCTGAATAATAAATCTAATGAAAAACCAAAAGGGTCACAGTAAAGATTTTTTCCATATTTTTTTCACTTTTTACAATAAAGAGGGAAAGAAAAATGTGTATTTTCTTTCTTAAATTTTTCCAAACTTATGACGTGTGTGTGTGTGTATGTATGTATGTATGTACACATGACTAACACAGTACATTTGGAGTCTGAAGACATCTTTGGCAGTCCATTGTGGGATCCAGGGAATAAACTCACATCAGCAGACTTGAGCAGCGAGGACTTGTACACACTGAGCCAACTCACGAGCCCCTTTCCACATTCTTGATAAGGTTTTATCTAACAGATTGTGTGTCAATATTTCTCCATCTGGGTTCGGCCTCTGAGTTATGTTCTTCTTTGGGTCTTGTTCTTAGGCTATAAGATGCATGTATTTTTATTTCTCTAGATTGAAAACTAATATCTTACCCTCTCTCTTATTATTCATATTATTTACAGTACCACTTCAATTTTTTGATTCATTTTTAACTACACTAGAGAAATGAAGCCAGGTGTGGTGACACATGCTTTAATGCTAGCACTTGAGAGGCAGAAGCAGGAGAATCTCTGTGAGATCCATGCCAACCTGTTCTATTAGTGATTTCCAGGTAAGTTGGGAACAAGGAGTCCCCCATATAAACACATGCACACACATACAAAACAAAAACAACCCCAAAACAAAAAGAAATTAAATAAGTAGCACAAGAATTGCCAACATAGTTTAACATTTAACTACATGCAATATCATCTTCCAAATGATTCATCTTTAATCGCCACTCCATCTAGACAGTCATGCCTTCTGCCCATCTGCATTTCTTTTTAAAAATACTTCATTTATATTTTCGTTTTATTTATATGACTATATTGTCTGCATGTGTGTAAGGGCACTCAAGCCATGAAGTGCCCACAGAGGACCGAAGAGGGCATCAGATGCCCTGGAATTGGAGTTATGGACAGCTGTTAGCTGCT